AAGCAGCCTTAAATTTTGCACGTGATCCAAGAGAAACTAAGAGAGAAACCAATCGTAATCAGGGTAAAGTGCTCTAAAATATTATTTGTTTTTGCTTTTTTTTTTCATAACTATCCATTGTTACAAAAGAAGGGCATATAGACACCTGAGTAAAAACCAAATGATGTTGTTCTTTTACTTGAAGGCTCTCTTTTGCCGAAGATAAGGTCTAAACTTTCTGGTATAGGACGCAAAGGTCTTTATGCACAGGCCCCTGCAGAACATACTATCAGCTCAGAGAGATAAAGACCTGTGAAAGCCTTTCTAGGAAATTTACTTGTAAGGTAGAGAAGGGAGGAGAGTTTAGGCAGAAGGAATACACCATGGAGTAAAGCTCAGATGACAGAAGTCTCACTGTACATATAGACAAACCCAAAGAAGTAGACACTGCAGAACTGAACATGTGATGGAGGAAATTAACAAGCTATTGTAATTTAGCCAACTGAAATTATCAAGAACTCCAGGGTGTCCTCAGCAAAGGCCAGCAAAAATCTATCTCCAGGGTCCATTTTTAAATTCAGATAATTTAAGAGAATGTTCTTTCCCTTTTATTTTTATTTTTAAATAATTGTACAAATAATATTGTATGCTTTGTCTTTAAAAAATCCTACAATTAAGTATAAAATCTTCTTTGATCCCTTTAACATCCTTACTCCCAGAAACAACTAGACTGGCATGTATATTCTTTAAGAACTTTTAATATAGGGCGGCGCCTGTGGCTCAGTGGGTAGGGCACCAGCCCCGTATACCGAGGGTAGCAGGTTCAAACCTGGCCCTGGCCAAACTGCAACAACAACAACAACAAAAATAGCTGGGCATTGTGGCAGGTGCCTGTAGTCCCAGTCTCAGGAGGCTAAGGCGAGAGAATCACCTAAGCCCAGGATCTGGAGGTTGCTGTGAACTGTGACACTACAGCACTCTACTGAGGGTGAAAGACTGAGACTCTGTTTCTACAAAAAAAAAAAAAAGAACTTTTAATGTACTTTTATGCACAAACACATACCCCACAAAAGTATACAGTACTGCTTTATGTTCAAGGGTTTCCATATTAATGACATACTTCAGCTTCCTTCATTTACTAAACAAGGTTTTGGAAGTCTGTCCACCTCAGTTCAAGTAGATCTAACTTATTCTCTTACATTATGAAACACTTATATCTCAGTTAATTTAGCCATTCCCTTACATTAGTTCCTTAGGTATTAAGAATGTGTTTTCACAGTACCACTCAGAGTTTAGCAACCTAGAAGGTGAAGAGTAGTTCTGAGCATCACATACAGTTATCTCCAAACTCCAAAAACAATGTGTTTTCTTGGTGAAAATAGTTTGTTTTCAGTTTAACTGGTTCCTCCTGTGAAAATGAACCAGATGAATAATTCAGAGAAATCCTCAGTTTTATATTTCAAATATAGCCAGAGAAAATAAAATCACGGTAAATATTAGTCAAAATGTGTGAATCTCATCTGAAATTCTAATTTCATTTCTACCAATTAGTCCTAGAAATTTTGGATATCCATTTTCCACTGAGATCAAAGCCTATGATTACAGTATCTAATTATCTCCTCAATCCACAATAACCCATTTGAATACAAATACCTATGCTTCCTTAAATAAGTTAGCAACATTTTTCTTTTTTGATGAAATTTAATAACTACTATATCTGATATAACATTGGTAAGAAAATAGTCTTGGGAACCCCTGAGAATTAAGGAAGCTGAGCCATTTCAAAATGGGCCTTGATACAAGGAAGGAAATCAGTAAATCCTTTAAGTTTCTTCAAGTATCATTTAGTGCATTAAGTTTATGTACTAAAAAAAACTTTAAAATTGCCATATCCAGATTTAAAATCTTTAAAATACCCTATAAACTGACAGTGGTTAAGAATATCAATATTAAGGATACTCTTTTTACAATCTCAATCATTTCCTCTGTAATATCAAATAGCGAATATAACTTATTTCAAACCTGAAATCTTCTAATTACTGATTGAGTGAAACACAGATACACCAAACTTCTGTTTTGATCTGAATAAACTTTTAAAACAAAATTTTCATTACACTGCCTATATTCCTTCTAAGGTAAAACAACTGAGTTCTTACACGTTCTGATCAAACTTCTAAAATTCTTTCTTTGCAAATAAGCCCTAATAGTTCACATACACTAATTAATTAGAAATAAGATGTGGGTCTGTGTGTATTTGTTTACTTATGCAGTTAGGGAGCAGCTGAATCTCAAGAAGGTTATACCTCAGGCAGGTTCTGTGTGTAATGGATGCCTGCTGTGCCCCTGATCCGGTGGGGGCCAAAATAGTGAGAGCACTAGAGATAATATAATTTCAAGCACCACTTCCCAAAAGAAATACAAACATTAACCACAATTAAGAGATATATATGTAATTTTTTTTTAAGAGGCAGGGTATCATAATGATAGCTCACTGCCGCCCCAAACTCCTGGCCTCAAACAATCCTCCTGCCCTGGCCTTCCAAATTGCTAGGATTACTGGTATGAGCTACCAAGAATGGCCTAATTAAAAATTTTTAATAGGCACATTAAAAATAAAAAGAAGGTAAAATTAATTTTAGTAATACATTTTATTTTACCCAATCTTATCCAAAATGTCAATATGTGACCAAATTTAAAAATTATTAGTGATATTTTATATTCTTTTGTTCATACTAAGCCTTCAAAATCCAGTGTGTATTTCACATAACACTTCTCAAATAGATTAGCTTTATTTCAAGACTTAAAAATCCATATATGGTGGGCGGTGCCTGTGGCTCAATGGAATAAGGCACCCAGCCCCATATGCCGGAGGTGGCGGGTTCAAACCCAGCCCTGGCCAAAAACTGCAAAAAAAAGAAAATCCATATATGTGACCAGGAACTAGATATGTAATTTTCTTGGCTCTGTTGTTCACATCAATAAAAATGAACAAGATGACCTGCCTTGCAAATTTCTATAAGAATTAAAGACAATATATGTAAAATATCCTGGTACATTACATGTCTGACACATAAGAGAACTCAATAAAATTATCACCATCCTCATTATCTTTCTATAGACTGAAGAAGAAAAATCACCACTGTAAGAAAGCTCAAATTCAAAATTTGAGAAAGTGAAGTGGAGACCAGAAAGAGAAGCAAAAATGTGAAATAAGGTTATCATAATGAAGGCTGGGCACGGTGTCTCATGCCTGTAATCTCAGAGCACTTGGGAGGCTGAGGTGGGGGGATTGCCTTGAGCTCACAGGTTTGAGACCAGCCTGAGCCAGGCAAGGCCTTATCTCTAAAAATAGCTGGGTGTTGTAGCGAGCATCTGTAGTTCCAGCTACCTGGGAGGCTGAGGCAAGAGAATCACTTGAGCCCAAGAGTTTGAGGTTGCTGTGGGCTATGACACCAAGGCACTCTACCAAGGGAGACAAAGTGAGACTCTGTCTCAAAAAAAGAAAAACAAAAAACAAAGATTATCATAATGTTTTCTAGCTGAAATCAATCAACAGTTATCCATATAAAATAAAAACAAAAACCAAATTTTCCAAGATTGCAAATAATGCATTAGATTAAATTAGATTAAATATGATTAGCATTAGAATTAAAGAAATGGCCTTTCTGCCAGAGAGGCCATCTTCCAGTAATTCACCAAAATGACAAACACAAAGGGAAAGAGGAGAGGCACTCAATACATGTTCTCTAGGCCTTTTAGAAAACATGGTGTTGTTCCTTTGGCCACATATATGCGAATCTACAAGAAAGGTGATATTGTAGACATCAAGGGAATGGGTACTTTTCAAAATTGCCACACAAATGTTACCATGGCAAAACTGGAAGAGTCTACAATGTTACCCAGCATGCTGCTGTTGGCATTGTTGTAAACAAACAAGTTAAGGGCAAGATTCTTGCCAAGAGGATTAATGTTCATATTGAGCATATTAAGCACTCTAAGAGCCGAGATAGCTTCCTGAAACGTGTGAAGGAAAATGATCAGAAAAAGAAGGAAGCCAAAGAGAAAGGTGCCTGGGTTCAACTAAAGTGCCAGCCTGCTCCACCCAGAGAAGCCCACTTTGAGAACCAACGGAAAGGAGCCTGAGCTCCTCGAACCCATTCCCTATGAATTCATGGCATAATAAGCATATAACATAGCACACAGGAGTACCAGTGGACCCATGTTTTTAGGTGCAAGAACCTATTTATTCCCCACGATCTCATGGCACGATAAGTGTACAGCATAGCACACAGAATAACCAACAGACTCCATGTAACAGTGATACAAGGTGCTGGAACCTATTTCCCATGCATTCAAAAGTCAATCAATGCTTTGTCACATTCAATGGCAAGGTGCCTTCCTGAGCTACTGGAACCTCTTCCCTATGAGTTCAGAGCATGGTAGATAAAAATAATAGCCTACTGCTACTGTAAAAATATTTTTTGTTCATTCACTGAAAGTGTGATATTTTTTTTCCAAAGAAGTATTAAAGCAAATTATAATGTGTCCTAAAAATAAATAAATTTAAAAAATAATAAAGAAATGGAGAGTTGTGGGTCTTTTTTCGTTGAAAGCAGGTTTGAGGGGGTGGTGCCTATGGCTCAAAGGAGTAAGGCACCAGCCCCATATGTCAGAGGTGGAAGGTTCAAACCCAGCCCCCAGCCAAAAACTACAAAAAATAAAAATAAAAAAAAATAAAGCAGATTTTGCTTTCTTGATTATTGTTGCCATACTAATATCATTTTCCATTTCCAAGGGGAGAAAATGGCCACAAAGTTGACTAGAAGGTAACTGAGGGACACAGAATTTTGGGATACTAAAACTGTTGCACATAATCTACAAAGCCATATTATATATCTTGATAACTGAGCATTCACTATATATTATACAACAATCAATTTTTTTCCAAGTAATTGTTACAGTATATTTTATTCATTTATTTAGGATATCAAAATGTAATACAGAAAATACATAAAACGTACCTCTGATAAAAATGTTTGGGCTGATTTCTGAGCTCCTACATGAAGCAGATATTCATAAACGTAGAGTGCTAACCTAGAAAACAAATAAGACATTTATTGAGAAGAGGAATATTAAAATTCATTCTTTATTTTTTAAGTTTTTTAATTAAAATTCATTAATGACTTATCTTTCCATTGCAAAAATATCTTATACCCTAATAGTGACAGAAAGTAACCCTTTCCCATTCCACACCCTTTCGATAGGAATTTATAAATGTATATTTAGCAAGAATATACTTAGAAAAAAACACATAAAGAAAAAGACAAATGTATCTTTTCATGGCAAGAAATATCTAATTATGGATTACTTTCCTCAATCATCTCACTTGCCCTTTGTTATACCTAATTTATAACCAAATATTAATAGTCTCCAAATCCTATTTTTTTTTTTTTTTTTTTTTTGAGACAGAGCCTCAAGCTGTCCCCCTGGGTAGAGCGCCGTGGCATTACAGCTCATAGCAACCTCCAACTCCTGGGCTCAAGTGAGTCTCCTGCCTCTGCCTCCCAAGTAGCTGGGACCACAGGCGCCCGCCACAATGCCCGGTTATTTTTTGGTTGCAGCCGTCATTGTTGTTTGGCGGGTCCGGGCTGGGGATTCGAACCTGCCACGTTAGGTGTGCGTGGCTGGCGCCTTAGCCGGTTGAGCTATAGGCGCCGAGCCTCCAAATCCTATTTTAAGGTAAAATTTTTACCTTTGATAAGTAATATAAATGAATTAAGGTATTGGACTTTTACAACAATTTAATATTCTTTAACATTTTTGATGAATGTTAATACAAGCCCTTGATGTTTAAAGAACCGTATGCCAAAACTTGTGTTGTATATCCATTTTAATATTTGTTTGGCAACCTCTCCTTATTCTTTACATTTGATTGTTAAACCAATAAGGTTTTAGTTTATAAGGCATTCACATTCACAGCAAACCACAGCATTATGTAAATTTTTAAGATATCACATCATGCTAAGCATGTGGGTTCTTATAGTTTAAAGGTTAACACAAAATCACACATAAATTTATCACTCAAATGTAGAATACTGAGTATGCAGAGTACACTTATACTTCTCTCATTATCTTGTGGATTCAGAATTTTTAAGCTACACCATGTGGCTCAATTTCAGTTGAGCTGTTAACAAAAAATTATTCATAAAGCCAAATTAGTCTGAGGCAGTATTTTTAATGATATCTTGGACCAATGCCCAGATACTCACAACAGTTCAGTTTCTGCTATACTATGTTTACCAATATTGAACCAGGTTTACAGTAAACAATGTAATAAAACAATAACCACAATTCTGTATAGCTCTACAACACTTTTCTTGCCAAGCAAATTTTTGACTGTTAAAGATTGATGGCATTTGCAACAGCGAATATTTACTTTCATGAAAACATATCATGCATCTGTCATGCAAAGAGAAAGCGTGTACAAATTCAGTTGCTTTGTCCATTTAATTATTTCCCTAATCCAAAATTGTCAATACTTAAAATGAAAATTATTCTATAGCTACCAAGCACCTTGAGAGAGCAGACATCTTTTAAAGTTACAGATAAAACATACATTATAGACAGCAAGGGTATGAATATAATTTAGAAACATCTCCTATCATCTTCAAATTGAGAGATACTTCCTAAATCAGTGCTTCTTAACTCTTTTTTTCTATCCTAACACAAGTGAAAGATATAGTGTGATAGTAGCAGTATCTCCCTGTGGAAATGCAGCTCATCTCCCACGCACAACATACAGGATATAGAAACTAGGATATTCCTCAAACACACATATCCCACACATCTTCTCCCTCTACCAGCCACTCTCAATCCTATCACATGACTTCACTAACCAGGATGACAAATTTTACCTTTAACAAAGAGAATATTTGTTAAATATTCCTAGATAGACTATAAAGCCTCAAAATTGCCTGACAGTGGCAGTGCTGCCCTTTATCAAACTTGAGAAGAAACCTGGCCTCAAAGGGAAAGTGTGGTAGCTCACACCTATAAGCTCAGCAGTTTGGGAGGCCAAGGTAGGAGGGTTGCTTAAGACCGAAAGCTTAAAATATTGCCTCAGGTAATTCCTTCTGTCTTGTAAAACCTTGGGCCTAAAGCCAAAGTAGTGACTAGACTAAACAAGAGACCTAGACCTAAGTGAAAGATTAAAACCTAAGCCATAAGGACATTTTACCAAGCTTGGGGAATTTGAAAGTGAGAGGCACAGAGGGAAGCAGAGGTACCTTCACGGACCCTGTGGGAGAGAGAGAGAGAGAGAACAAACCTCAGAACAGCCAAAGCCCAAGCACAACTGTCACTGTGTCCTTTCAATAAACCCATTTTTTCAAGTTAAGTGAGTTACTTCCTTATAACATTGTAATTTCTTCTTTGTAACATTAAAGAGGGCTAATACAGTTCTTCTATGTTTTCCTTACTAATTAAGTAACAAAAAGAACATCTCCTTACAAGTAAAATTAAAAGCCATAATCCATACTTTCTCTATGAGTCTAGGACAATTATTCTAAAAAATACATAAGAAATTTCAAACCATACAACTGGAGATTCTGAAGTGCCTTCCAAGGGTATAGACCCATCCTCCTGCCTTTGGAATCTGGCTGTAGGAGCTCAGCATTATCAACAGGATGATGAAGTAGGACAGAGCTGAGAAAACCTATCTATAATGCTACCTGATATATCCATCTTCTACAGTCTCCTTTGAACAAAATTAATGCTTTCCAGGCAATCATTCTCCATGCTCCAAAAAGTGTGGCAGGGTGGCAATGCATGGGCAAACAAATAACTCTACTACCACAAAAATGCCATTAATACATGACTGGCAAATCTCCAATGTTTTAGTTATCACCTTTGTGCACAGGATTTTCCAAGCCTATCCCTATAGCCCTATCTTTTGTCCCATGCTCCAAACTTGCTTCTCAAAATTACTGTTTCAAGTTTCTGACAAGACATTTCTCTTAAATTGTTAATGCCCAAAGTTAATTTCACTCTTCTCTCAAAGTGAGTACCTTGGCTCACTTTGAATGGAGCACAATTTCTCTAAGTCTCAGTTTCCTCATTTGTTAAATGGGGAAAATATATTTTCTTCTATTACTGAAAGAAAGAGCACAGTAAATAGTAACAATTATGGTTATGATTCTGGCTAAGATATTACCACATCATGTGCCAAATGATGGCATTTGGTATGGCATTACTCATGCCATAATCTCTCCCCCATTTGTTACTCCCTTCTGTCTTCCTGCTCCTGAAGAACCACCAGGAGCCACAGCAATACCAGGAGCTATTTGCCTAGGTTCAGACGCAGATACTATGTAATTCCCAGTAGCTTCTCATAAAAAGGCATTGGAACCACTAGAAAAAAGAATGTCTAGAAAGATCTAGGGGAAAGCCTCACAATAACAGATACTGTTTGAACACAAATGATTCCAGGAGAGGGGGGGAATGACACTTGTCCATCCATGCCATCCATGCACGTAAATGGTGCCCTCCCTCGTGACAAGATATTACCAAATAGAAGGCAACATTTTATTCAAATTCAATTTCTAATAACCAGTGAAAATTATAAAAATATTAAATATGAAAATATTTAAACAGTGACAACTTTTGAATTGACATTTTCTCTTTTCTTTTCATGATTATTAAGAAATTTAAGTACTTTTTATAAAATGCAGAGTGGCTATTTAACCTAGTAGTGTATAATGTGATCTAAATACATTTTAAAAATTAACACTTGTACAGTAAGAATTGGCTCCAAAAAGTAGTCTCAGCCTTTTTTTATTTTTTTATACTGATTAATGAAAAAGTATACCAATGATTCATGGATCATGTATCTTTAAATTATCTTCATTCTGTTCTAATTTTAAATTGGATTTGAAAAACTGAGTAATGAAAATGATGACCAACCATTCTAGAGAAGCAAGTAAGGCAGAAATACAAAAGATATCTGATACAGCTCAATACCTTCCTTACTTCCTGGTAAGTACAGGCATATAAGGTTTAAAAGTAGGAGCAAAGGTAAAGAGGTAGAGATTAAAATGGGAGGAACACAGAGAAGAGCCAAAGCCTGAGCCCACTTGGGGCTGCCCTCAGCACAGAAATCACTTAATACCTGCACATGTGATGCCTACAACACTCGTTCTCCCATAATTACACACACATGCACTCACAACTGCTCTAGGAAGCAAACTGAAAAAACCAATCAACAATGATAATCCCACCTATTTGACAATTTATGTTCTATCAATCTCTGGCCAAATCTCCTTCATCTAGGCTTCATGAATTCAAAATCTACAATAATTTGGAGATGGACAGGTCTGTGGTTTCACCTGTTAAAAAGAAGATGGGGGGATCCCACTTAATTTTAATTTTGCATAATTCTAACAAAGGTGAGGGTTTTTTAATTTAAAAAATATACAATTAAAAGGGAATTAAAAATATGAAAAAATATATATTAAATGTTAAACTAATGGCTGCCTCTCCACAAATCAAATAAAGTTAAAAAGCAAAAAGGGGGCGGCACCTGTGGCTCAAGGAGTAGGGCACCAGTCCCATATGCCAAGGGTGGTGGGTTCAAACCCAGCCCTGGCCAAAAAACTGCAAAAAATAAAATTAAATAAAATTAAAAAAAAAAAAGACATTTATAAAAAATAAAAAAAATTTTAAAGAAAGCAATAAAGGACTAAGAAAACAAGATGTGCAATTAATACTATGCCATAGGGCTCAAGGGATACAAATAAATGACTTGCTAGAATATGAAGATCTTAATTTTAAAATAATTAACAAGGTATGGAAATCAAAATTCAAATAACATTGGTTATGTATGGCCAGTAAGTAATTCTCAGGAAAAATGTTTAACCTCCTAGTCATAAAAAGTATTTTAGGCCTCTCTGGATACTTGTCATGGCAATGGAAGCCAACTGTTTGCTGTCTATGGTGAATCTATCCTGCTTTGTAAATTTTCTTACTTTGTAAGCCTATCTTTCTCTTCTTCAATAAACTTCATTTCATGTTTGCTTTTAAAAAAAGTATTTTAAAATTTCACTAATGTAACAAAGACTTAAAAAATATTGAAGTGTCTAGTGCCTATAAGGTTAAAGAAGTATAAATGGTATCATTTTTCAGGAAAATAACATGAAAAGGTAAAAATACTGGGTAATAAGTAAAAAAAAATATATACAACAGGGCAGCGCCTGTGGCTCAAAGGAGTAGGATGCCAGCCCCATATACTGGAGGTGGAGGGTTCAAACCCAGCCCCAGCCAAAATATATATACACACACACACACACACACAACAGCTATATGTATGTTATGCCTATGTAAATATAGTATGCTCCCATCCATACCACATACATATTCTTCCAGAGATATTTTATGCATATGCAAGCATCAGAGCAACTGTGGCACTCACAAGCTTCCCACTCCTGTAGATCATTTGAGTTCAAACTGTTTCTCTTATTACAGGGTTTTTTTCCCAGGGACTGGGATAGATAGGAGAAAGACCTTTTTTTTATAGCATAATTATGCTTCTGTTTGATTATTTTCCCTAGTTTTATTTTCTCTATTTTAGAAGAAATAAGCAAATAAAAAATTAATAAACCTTTCATATCTTTTGAGATAATATTTTTATTCTACAATACTGTAGAATTGGAAAGTCAAACAATTTACAATGATGCTCGTGGCAAAATTCTATCAGTAAAAAACTGACAACCTGGTGGCACCTATAGCTCAAGCGGCTAAGGTGCCAGCCACATACACCAGAACTGGAGGGTTCAAATCTGGCCCAGGGCCTGCCAAACAATAACAACTACAACCAAAAAAAACAGCCAGGCGTTGTGGCAGGCACCTGTCTGTAATCTCAGCTACTTGGGAGGCTGAGGCAAGAGAATCGCTTAAGCCCAGGAGTTTGAGGTTGCTGTGACCTATGATGCCACAGCACTCTACCCAGGGCTATAGCTTGAGGCTCTGTCTCAAAACAACAACAACAACAACAACCCCCCCCCCAAAAAAACCTGACAACCTAAATATCTAATAAAAGAGAAATAATTAGATTAAGATGTAATGGAAAAATATATATATATATTTTTGTGCACGGGAGAGCACAAACGCAGTCCTCTACTACCACAAATTATGCAGTCAAGTTTCCCACATTTGGGAAAATCACAGGGGTCAGCACATCTGGAGTGCAGTGAATAAGCCTTGCCCTGGGAAAACCACCTTTGTGATCATGGTAACTCCCCTGCCAGGTAAGTATGGGAAATATATTTTTGAAAAATGTTTAATTAGATGAAGAAATGCTTGTAATTCTCTGTTAAAATTTAAAAGTCCACAAGTATATGTAATGTGTGTAGAAAAACAAGAGGAGGAAATATGAGGTATTGCAACTGGTAGAAGCATTAATGAAAGTAAGAAGTGGGCGGCACCTGTGGCTCAGTCAGTAGGGCACGGGCCCCATATACTGAATGTGGCAGGTTCAAACCTGGCCCTGGCCAAACTGCAACAACAACAAAAAAATAGCCAGGTGTTGTGGCTGGCGCCTGTAGTCCCAGCTACTCTGGAGGCTGAGGCAAGAGAATTGCCCAAGCCCAAGAGCTGGAGGTTGCTGTGAGCTGTGACGTCACAGCGCTCTACCAAGGGTGATATAGTGAGACTCTGTCTCAAAAAAAAGATAAACAATAAAAGTCAGCAGTGACAGATAAAGTCTAACTAGTATGAGTGAGTTACTGGAACTGGTAGAAACATTAATAAAAAGTAAGCAGCAGCAAATGAAATCTAATTAGTATGGGACAGAAAAACTAACTAAAGCAATAAAGACAGTATGGCCTTCTTACAGAAAGGGCAAACATCTCCATGCCTCTCACAGAAGGCCTGAGAGCAACTCTTATTGTAACATTGGCCTCTTAACCAGCATACATATTAGTAGCTTTGTGTCACCAGCAAAAGATTAAGTTTTGTGGCACTCATAATAATTAATAAATATCTAAAGTTTTTATCTACATAAAAATATTAAACCTCTGATATAATTTCTGTAAGTATTTTTTCCAAGTTTGTTGTCTAACTTAATTTTGGTCAGAATTTTGGGGGAAGAGGCATTTAGTTTTAGTTTTGGTAGGTTTTGTCCTGTTTTGTTTTGGGGACAGGGTCTCACTGTGTTGCCCAGGATAGTTGCAAATTCCTGGGATCAAACAATCTTCCCACCTCAGCCTCCTGAGTAGCTAGGACTACTGGTACGTACCACTATGTCTGGCTAATTTTTTTTTTTTAAATTTCAAAGTATTAAAGATGTACAAATGTTTTAGGTTACATGGATCATTTTGTAATGCTTGAGTCCCAGCTACAGATGTGCCTATCACCCAAAGAGTGTTCACTGTATCCATTAGGTAGGTTTTTACACCTCCCCTTTTACCCCCTTACTCCCTGGTTGACTTCCACTGAGTTTTACTTCTCTCTGTACACATGTATACTTATCAGTTAGTTCCAATTTAATAATGAGCATATGTGGTGTTTGTTTTTCCATTCTTGAGATATTTCACTTAGAACAGTGGTCTCCAATTCCAGCCAGATTATTGCAGAAGGTATTAATTCATCTTTTTATATGGCTGCATATAGTACTTCATGGTATATATCTACCAGATTTTATTAATCCACTCCTGATTGATGGGCATATGGGTTGATTCCATGTCTTTGCAATTGGGAATTGTGCTGCAATAAACATTTAAGTGAAGATGTCTTTTTAATGAAAAGTATTATTTTCCTTTGGGTAGATACCCAATAGTGGGATTTCTGGATTGAAAGATAGGTCTAGTTTTAATTCTTTGAGAAATCTCCATACCATTTTCCATAATGGTTGCATTAATTTGTAGTCCCATCAACAGTGTATAAGCATTTCTTTCTCTCTGCATCCATGCCAGCATCTAATGTGTTTGGATTTTTTTTTTTAAATAAAAGCAATTCTAAGTTATAGATAGTGATATTTCATCAGCATCTAATGTGTTTGGATTTTTTTTTAATAAAAGCAATTCTAAGTTATATATAGTGATATTTCATTGTGGTTTTAATTTGCATTTCCCTGGTGATTAGTGATGTCGAGTATTTTTATATGTTTGTTGGCAACTTATCTTTCTTCTCTGAGAAGCTTCTGTTCATGTCTTTTGTCCACTTTTTAATAGGGCTGTTTAGTTTTTTACTACTGATTTATTTGAGTTCTTTGTAAATTCTGGATATTAGCCCTTTATCACAGCTTGTGAATATTTTCTATAATTCTATAGGTTATTTGCTGTGTTGTTTCCTTAGCTGTGCAGAAGCATTTTAGCTTAATCAAATACTATTTATTTATTAATCTTTCTTGTTGCCATATTGTCTTTGGGGTCTTAGTTATAAATTATTCTCCTAGGCAGATATCTATAAGAGTATTTCCTATGTCTGCCTCTAGAATTCTTATAATTATATGCTTTAGATTTAAGTCTTTTATCTGTCTTGAATTAATTTTTGTGACTAATGAGAGGCAGGCATCCTGTTTCATTTTCTACATGGCTATCCAATTTTCCCTGCACCATTAATTGAATAGGGCTTCTTTTCCCCTGGGTACATTTTTGTTTGCCTTGTCAAAGATCACTTGGTTGGAGGTAGATGGTTTTATATCTGGGTTCTCTGTGCTATTCCATTGATCCATGGCTCTATTTTTATACCAATACCATGCTGTTTTGGTTGCTATAGCCTTATAGTATAGTTTGAAGTCTGAGAATGTGATGCCTCCAGGTTCATTCTTTTTGCTTAAGATTTCTTTGGCTATTCAGGCTTTTTTCTAGTTCCAAAACAGAATTATTTTTTCTAGATCTGTGAAGCATGTTGTTGGTAATTTGATGGTGACTATATTGAATCTATAAACCTCTAGCTAGATGATATTTTTTGACAATGAAATAGCAATTTTATTTTTTAATTGACAAATATTGTGTATATTTATAGCATACAATATGATGTTTTGGTATACGTATACGTTATAGAACAGTTGATTCAAGTAATTAACATAACCATTACCTCACATATTTATCAGTTTTTGTGGTGAGAACATTTAAAACCTATTCTCTTAGCAGTTTTCAAGTATATACATATAATACATAGTTTTTAACTATAGTCACTATGTTGTACACTTACAATAGATCTCTTGGAATTTTTCCTTAAATCTAACTAAACTTTTGTATCCTTTAACCAACATCTTTCTAATCTTCCCCAGTCTCTGGTAAACACCATTCTACCCTGCTTCTATGAGTTCAACCTTTTTAGAGTCTACACAGTCAGCTCTTCATATCTGTGAGTTCCACATATTCAATCAACCTGGGATCAAAAATATAGCCATGTCTCAATATCCTCAGGGTATTGGTTCTAAGACTCCCACAGACACCCAAATCCCCAGTATAAAAAGGTATAGTATTTCATGTACCTAAACCCTTCCTCCCGTATACCATATTTTCCTATGTATAATGTACTCCCACAAATAATGCATATCTACATTTTTGGTCCAATCTTTCAGGAAAAAAAATCTTTTGTTTTAATTTTTAATTCAAATTTGTATTTATCTATATTGAGGTACTTATTTATTGTATTATAAGAAAATTTCATATTTATTTTTTGACATACTATGGTACAAGAAATGTTATGTACTGGTAATAAACAGTACTACCCATGTATAATATGCACCCTTATTTTTCCATCAAAATTTTGGGCAAAAAAGTATACATTTTGCATGGTAAAATATGATGCCTTAAATTATTTCTAGACTACTTTAATACCTAATATAATGTAAATGTATATAGTCATTATACTGTACTTTTATTTGTATTATTTTGATTGTTCATAGTTATTTTTTATGAGGTTCCTTCTCAAACATTTTTGATCCTCAGCTTTGGAACACTCAAATACAGAGGGCTGACTGCATAAGTGAGAATACGCAGTATGTATCTTTCTCTGCCTGCCTTTTCACTTAGCAATGTCCTCCAGGTTCATTCACATACATAACACATTTTCTTTATCCATTCATCCACTGATAAACACTTTAGTTAATTTCATATATTGGCTATTGTGAATAATAATGCAGTAAACATCTCTTTGACATACTGATTTCATTTCCTTCAGACATAGATCTAGTAGTGGGATTGCTAAATTATATGGTACTTCTATTTTTAATTTTTTGAGGAAACTCCAGACTGTTTTCCATAATGACTATACTAATTTACATTCCCACCAATAGTGTACAAAGGTTCTCTTTTGTCCACATTCTCACCAACACTTGTTATCTTGCAGACATTCTAACAGTTATGAGGTGATATCTCATTGTGGTTTTAATTTGCAGTTCCCTGATAATTAGTCATGTTGAGCATTTTTTCACATAGCTGTTGGCCATTTTATTAGTCTTCCTTTGAGAAATGTCTATTAAGTCCTTTGCTCATTTTTTTTAATTGGATTGTTTCCTTATTATTGAGTTGGTAGAGTTTCTGTATATATTTTGAATATTAATACCTTATCAGAGGTTTGTTTGCAAATATTTTCTCCATTTTTTTTTTTTGAGACAGAGTCTCACTATGCCACCCTCAGTAGAGTACTGTGAAGTCACAGCTCACAGCAACCTCAAATTCTTGGACTTAAGTGATTCTCTTGCCTGAGCCTCCTAAGTAGCTGGGACTACAGGTGCCCACTACAACACCCAGTTACTTTTCTGCTACAGTTGTCATTGTTGCTTTACCTGACCCAGGCCAGATTCAAACCCACTAGCCTCAGTGTATGTGGCTGATGCCCTACCCACTGAGCTATGGGCACTGCCAGAATTTAGATGTTTTCACGTAATAAGCAACTTAAGTGGCATCTCTCTCTCCTTAATTCATAAACCTCAGAAATCTGAGAAAATGTCATTACCATATAACCAAATAAAATTATTTCAAATTTACCTGTGAAAATTGTAACTTCAAAGAAAAAACCTTGATTTTTATTATTCACATTAACAAAATCTATTATATGCTTGCCAATAGGTATTATCTAACAGTACCAAGACAGATTAACTAATTAGGCATCTATAGCAGAGACTATCACTTAAGAATCTAATTACAGTAAATTCTCAACTACCCTTGTAATGAATAAAGGCAGTCAATGAAAGGAATAAAGATCTTCACTCTGTTCTTTCTATAATCTAGCTATTTACACTCTGGCAAAATATAAAAATGAGCAAAATATAAATGCGGATGCTTTCTTCTATTTCTAATA